CATCTTTATTATTTCCTTCCTTCTAGTGGTTTGGGTTTTGTTTGTTCCTCTTTTTCTAGCTCTTTTAGGTGTAAAGTTAGGTCATTTGAGGTTTTTCTTGCTTCTTGCAGGAGGCCTGTATTGCTCTCAACTTCCCTCTTAGAACACTTTTGCCGCATCCCAATGATCTTGGATCCTTGTGTTTTTATTTTCATTTGTCTCCATGTACTTTTGGGTTTCCTCTTTGATATCTTGGTTGACCCATTCATTGTTTAGTAGCATGTTATTTTGTCTCTACACCTTTGTGTTCTTTCCAGATTTTCTACTTCTGGTTGGTTCCTACTTTCACACCATTGTGGTTGGAAAGCTGCATGGCGTGACTGGAGTCTTTTTGAATTTGTTGAGACGTGTTGTGTGGCCTAATATGTGATCTCTTCTGGAGAATGCTCCGTGTGTCTTGAAAAGAATGTGTGTGCTGCTGTCTGGGGATGGAGTGTCCGAATCTGTCTGTCACATCCATCTGGTCCAGTGTATCGTTCAAAGCCACTGATTCCCTATGACTTTCTGTTTCGATGATCTGTCCATTGAGGTCAGTGGGGTGTTACAGTCCAGCCAGACCAGATGTGTGCTTCTAGCCCAGTGCTGGGGCCGCAGCTGGACTGCTGTGTGTGGATCGTGTCCCCTGTCCCGGGGAAGGCATCACTTTGTGGTGAGGTTGGCCTGTCACTGCTGCTTGCATACTGCTGGGCTGGTGGCGCTGCTTTAGAGGGGTTCTGCTGAGCATGTAGCGGGGGTGACAGGTCCACAGGAGGGTGCAGGGAGATTGTAAGAATTCCTGAAGTCAGCCCCTCTTATTTTCTAAGCCAGTGTCATGGCCGTTCATCTTCCTCATGCAGGTCACCCGTGCCTGAGGTGTCTGGTGTAGGATCTGGTTCCTTCCCCTCCTCCGGCATCCCTCCATCCTGTAGATAGTTCTGCAGGTCCATTTGGCTCCCAAGATGTCTCTGCCCTCCCTCCCCCTTCACTGTGGCCTCTTCTCTGCATTTAGCTGTGGAGAGTCCTGCTAGTCTTCGGGTCATTTTCTGGGTTATCTACACTCATGTGGATTAATCTAGGTGTATCTTGGGGTGAGGTGAACCCGGGATCCTCCTACTGTGCCATCTTCCTCGGAAGTCTGCCTTGGGATTTTGGTGGTGGTTAGAGGGGAGGGGAGGGACGAGGGCTTCCACCCCTGGTGTGAATTTCCCGTGCTGCCAAGGGAGGGAGCACCTGAGCTTCTCATCTGGGTCCGGATGTGCCCCGAAGGGGAAGAGGGAGAGTGGGGCTTACAGGTTGTCAGCAGTCATACACCAAAATGAGGTCAGATTTTATTACGATGAGTTTCTATCAGTTGAGAGACATTGAAATGTCAGACTGTGATTGTGGATTTGTTATTTCTCCCTGTACTTGTATTTTCCTCATGTATTTGGAAACTGTTATCAAGAGCACAAACGTTTTGAATTGTGTTTTCTTGATGAGTTACCCCTTTTTATTATGAAATGATCATCTTTGCCCTCATAATAAGCTTGGCTCTGAAATTTGCATTGTTGGATATTAACAGTCGCTCCATTGATTGATGTTAGGATGGTAGGTCTTGGTCAATCCTTTCACTTTAATTATGCGCCTTTATAGTTAAATAGGTTTATTGTGTGCAACATGTAGTTGGTTTTTCATCCAATTTGATGATTTCTATTTATGAAAGTGATCAGACTGTTTACATAGCATAACAAAATGTCTATAGATATGGTGTTAGGCCTATCATCCGGCAATCTGATTTTTATTTATCTCACTTGTTCTTTGTTCCCCCTTCCTCTCTTCCATGGTTCCGTGGAAGTTTAGTACATTTGAGTTCTAAACTAGGAGCTTTGTGGCTCTCAGTGCTGTTGCACCGACTAGCCCTGCACAGCTGGCCTTGTGTTCACCACTGGCCGCTGGCCTCCAGTCCACGATGCTGATACTTCAGGGTTGGGGAGCGATGCTCAGTGTCATCTCCCAGGAGCTCTTGTGGGGCCCAGCAAAGGGAGCAGTGGGTGATTCCTTTTGGTTTCTGCCAGAAATAGATCTTGACCTCCACCCTTCGGCCAGTGTGTGTGTGTGTGTGTGTGTGTGGGCGCATGCGCGCGCACGCACGTGCGCATACGTACTTGGTATTTATTTAGTTTAATTTTAAAATATATGTGCACAAGTGGAGACAAATACAGTTTCCATTGTACAAATGGACTGTGTATCAAAACAATTCCATAAGCCATGCATTGGATACCGAATGTTTGTGTTTCCAACATGACATGTTGATGGCCTAACTCCCAGCTGGCTGCACTGGGGAGGGGGCCCTTACGGAAGTAATTAAGGTCCAATGCAGCCTTCTGGGTGTAGCCCTCATCTGACACGATGAATGCCCACGTCAGAAGGAGCGAGCAGGGGGATCCCTGGGTGGTGCAGTGGTTTGGCGCCAGTCTTTGGCCCAGGGCGCGATCCTGGAGAACCGGGATCGAGTCCCACGTCGGGCTCCCGGTGCATGGGGCCTGCTTCTCCCTCTGCCTGTGTCTCTGCCTCTCTCTCTCTCTCTGTGTGTGACTATCATAAATTTAAAAAAAAAAAAAAAAAGGAGCAAGCAGCGCTCACACTGTTTCCACACACACAGAGAAGCCACACAAGCTCAGAGTGAGAGGGCCTCCTGTGCACACCCAGAAAAGAGGCCTCCGGGGAAAGCAGCCCGCTCGCACCTGATCTTAGCCCGCAGCCTCCAGCACTGGGGAGAGGCACGTTTGTTGTGTAAACCGCCCCATCTGGTATTCTGGGATGGCAGCCTAAGACGCTGTTTCCCAAAGAAACATAGTAAATCAGGGCTGGGCTCCCAGGCTGGAGCACAGAATTATTTATGACCTAGACATGTAATGCTAGAATAGCATAGCCGAGCGTGCTCGGAACCCTGGGGGATGCTTTCTTTTGTTTTACTGGGTTTTCCCAGGTCATAGGGAACCAACCAGCCCCTTAATAAGATGTACATTTCAGAACTTAAGCTATTCAACCTGGAGCAGAGGCACAGAGCAGAGGCACATGGACCATGGCAGGCGATGCAGGAGAGCAGGCTGGGGATGCTCTCTAGGGTAGAATGAGAATGGGGAGCAGAGGGCAGCTCCACGGCTAGCCCTGAGAGAAGGGCCTTGGTGAACCTGGACGATAGTGCCATCCCTGACCTGGGAGAGCCGGGCTGGGCCAGCCACCTTGTGAGGGCACCAGGGTGGGAAGGTGCGGACAGGAGTGGGGCAGGTGTGGGGCAGGTGTGGTCCACTCTAGAAATCCTGTAAGTAGCAATGAACAGCCACAGCTCACCACTGCCCTCGCTGAAGACTGTTGTGGGACACGCTCGAGTTCTCCCCTGAGGCTTAAAGCCAAGTGTGACAAGACAGGCCCCCCCGTGGGGTCTGGTGAGTTCCCACCGGCCTTGTGACAGAACTCAGTGGAGGAGAGAGGCTTGAGGGCTGAGCGGAGTCCTGGAGCAGCAGGAGGCTTAGGGGCCCCCAGAGGGTGGGAAGCAGTGGGGGGCAGAGACTAACCCTGGGGGTTCCAGAGACCTGCTGGGTGTGCGGGGCCTCCCCGGGGCGGCAGCTGGCCCATGGCCATCTCCATCCCTCACTCTACCCGTGCTGATCAATGTGGCAATCGAGTTGCTTCTAGAGAGCAGTCCCCAGTGCAGGAGGGGGGCAGATACTGCTTCTTGGGGTACCCAGAGAGGGTGTCCACTGGGGGTACTGGGTAAGCCCTCACCCATGCTGTGGTGTGAACAGGTGTTCCATCTCCAACCCATCACCTGCAGGAATCTGGGCACGTGCACTCAGATTCTGAAGGAACCCGGGCCCCTGTCCTTGTGCGCAAGCAGTCAGACGGTCATGGCCCCTTGGGCCTCAGCCTTCTACCCCCGTCACATTTGCCATTGGCACCTACGCTATTACTCGCTTAAAAGGATGAAAAAGTGAACTGTGCATTCCCACTGCGGACAGAAAACAAGGAACTGCTACACACAGACGGGGACGAGAAGGACAAGAACACACAGGATGCCGCCTGGGCTGTCCGCTCTGCTGCAGGGAGCGGGGAGGGCCTAGGCCCACGCCAGGGCAGGGGGAGCCCGATGTGAGCAGCGGCCTGCAGAACTGGCAAGAGCCGGGGGGACAGTCCCCGGCCACATCCCCGAGCCACACTTGCACGTTTCCGCAAAGCCTGTGCTGCTCTGCTCCCGTCAAACACTGGCCAGGAGCTGAGTCTGAGGCTGGCATTTGCTTACTATGAACACAAGTCCCCTGTGACAACTGCAGGTCCTGTGCAGCGGCGGGGCCCCGTGTGCTGCTGCCCAAGGTTAGAGACAGCAAAGCTCCAGTTCCTTGTCCTGACCCCCAAGTGGGACCTCTGAGCTGACTCCAGGGTGGTCCCTGAGACCCCCACCACCAGCCACGTGGCCAATCTTCCTCTACCTGTCCTTGAGGCTCCTAGCATGGTTCCCACTTCCCAAGTGAGGCGCAGCCCTGCCTTGGCCAGCAGCCCACCCTGCACTGTAGCCAGAGGTTGTAGGCTGCTCTGGGGACCCCTTGCCCAGAGCGTGGGTGTCAAGCTTCCAGAGACTGAGTGGGGGAGTCCCAGGCCAGCACGCTGGGTGGAGCCACGTGAGCCCAGGGGATGGCCACCAGCACAGATGGCCACTGTGGCTCCGGAGCTGCCCTGGCATGATGGGGAAGGTGCCTGGAAACCATCCTCGGCCTTGGCCTTGTCTGGGCAAAGTGGGATCCGTCTGAGGATGCTGGGCTGACAGGTGCTCTGTAAAGCACCAGGTAAATGCTGAAGTTGACCAGCGGGCCAGGAACCCCTCAGCCCAAGGGCCCCTGGACCTGGTCCTGTTGTTGCTCTGGGACACTCTCTGGCCTCCCGTGTTCCCTGCTGTCTTGGGCCACCAGACAGGACAGAGCTGGAAAAACCAAAGTCCCTTTTCCCCCAAAATATTCTTTATTCTTGCATTACATTTGTGTTTCCAGTTGTGAATAAAAAATGCTTAGAAAGTGGTTACAAAACAGCGTGAACTGGACACGAGGCGTGGACTCGCCTTCTCCACGTGTGACGACACAGGGCCTGGCGTCGGGGTCGGGTGGGCCTGCGTGAGCTCAGTCGGGCTTCTCACTCTCAGAATCTAGAAAACAAAACCGCCACAGCTCATTACAGGCCCAGCTCGGCCACATGAGGCCCTGGAAGGCGGAACAGCGTCATCAGAGGTCATCCTCCCTGAGAAGCCAGTGGCCCATGACCTCACACCGTGTGGGGCCAACCCCAGGCGGCCTTTGCTGCCGCCCAGGGCCACATGGGGCCGCCCAGCACCTGCTTGTGCTGCGTCCAGCTCCCCGGGTACAGCGAGAGAAGCCGCAGCCCTGAGGCACCCCGGGGCCAGCGCTCGGACAGGCAGATGGGGCTGCAGGGTCTGCACTGGTTCTGAGAGGGGCCCTCCCTCCGGCAGCTCTGCCACAAAGCCCGACAGCCTCTCAGCAGGCAGAGGCAAGAGGCACAGCAAACCCCAGCCTGAGCACCTGTGGGGCACGTGCAGGAGCCCAGACTAGGGAGCCGGACCCTTCGAGGGTGAGCTGGCTGCAGACAGGCCCAGTGCCATGGGGGTCCTCCCCACACACGCCCGTGCCCCAGCCGTCCCTGTGAACCCAGTGCTGATCCAGGAGAAGGTACTAAGGTGCCCACCTCCCCCAGCTCTGGCCATGATGAGTGACCGCCAACCCGGCTTTGTCCAGTCAGCCCATGGGGACAGGGGTCGGGCACCGTTCAGGTGGCCGTGAGATTCACACCCTCCACGAGGCAGAGCCCACCCCAAGAACTACATGCAGTTCAGGTCTAGAGAGGTCAGAAGCCGAGCAGATGGGCCTGGAGGCCAGCAGAGCTGGGTCCTCGGGTCCCGGGCCACATGCAGAAAATGGGGATCCCTCCTAACACCTCGCTGTTCCCCAAGCTGGCTTGGCAGCTGGCATTCAGTACGCAGGCGTCCTGGGCAAGGCATCCACTGTAGTGGTGGAGCCATGTGTAGAGCTGCACTCGGGAGCCTGGCTGGCTTGCTGTATGAGGGCGGGGGGGGGGGGGCGGTAAGGAAGAGAGGTGGCGCCACACTGTTTTCAAGCAAAAATGTTTATTTTTCTCCTTCATAGATACAATCTCTTGGGGGTTCCGTGCCACTGACCATTCATGTACAAGGCCAGGACCCCAGATCTCACTTCTGCTGCGGCAGGCAGCAGGGGGTGGGGGAGCAAGAGAAGGCAACCTCCGCCACGTTCGGGAATCAGGTGCACAAAATTCTCCCCCGAGGAAGCGAGGGCACGTTACAGAGAACAGAAATCTCTGACTACAGCATCGTGCCCGGCTGAGACCACGCATCACCTCGAAAACTCAATTCTAACTGAATTGATGGAATAATACACTTAAGATCATTTAGCCAGTTCTGGTGAGGGCCCAAAGTGGAGCACAACTGTCCGGCTCGCAGCCAGGTGGCAGCCCTCAGACGGGGACTCGAGCTCCCAGGGCTGTGTGGCCCGGCTGGACGAGTCCCCTCACCCCCAGGGGTCCAATGCTGCCCCCCGGGCAGGGCGACCTGCATGCACACGGCCGAGTGAGACGCAGGCCTCTGTGGGAGTGACAACAAAGGAGGGGCAGCTGGCGGGAGGGTCAGCAGAGCCCAGGACCAAGGGAGCCATGCGGTCTCGGCGGGGTGGGAGGCCTGCCTGTGCCCCACAGGCTTGGGGTCAACATGGTGTGGGAGTTCACTGAACACTTTCCAACAGCTCAGCACAGCCCAACACAGCTGCTCACGTTCCCTCCTGAGAGCCCTATGGCCGCCAGCGACACGCTGTCCTGGTCACCACGCAGCCCTGGGTGACTGGGGGGCAGGACCCAGAGCCCTGTGGCCAGGGAAGGGGGGGTGTCCATCTGCTCTCAGTGGCCAGAGAAGCCCAGGGAGACCTCGTTTACAATGGAAACCTAAAGGTCAGGTTTTTGCCTTAGATTTATAAACGATTTGTATCTCTGTGACTTAAAATGGGTTGGGTATCACTGCACAAGCCAACTGTAAATATGATATATAACTTTTCCAACATGTGATTTTTTTTTTTTTAACATCTCCTTCCATCAGGGAACAGAAGCTGGAATTCAAGGCACTGTACTTCCACAGGGTGAGCACAACATTCTAACCATCGATTCAAGCACAGGAGGTGGGTGCGGAGGCTGCCAGTGTGGACCACGGGGACCTGGAGTCGGCTGCAGCGCAGGACGCAGGCACGGCTGCCCACGCACTGGCCCCCACGCCAGGCACCCCCGGGCAGGCAGGGCAGAACCCGAAGGCCAAGCCACAACCCCGTCACTATGGACTGTTTGGCTTGGCACTCCGGCCGCAAGTGCTAAGACAGAGCTACGTGATGTGCAGTCTAGGGCCAGGCACGCTGACCACCGGTGGCCGCAGGAACACAGGCAGAGCAGGCACGCCCGCTGCCCCCGAGCCTAGGCCAGGGCTGAGGATCTGGCCGTCCACCCGGGCTGCCCAGGGCCCCCAGGACACCGGAGGAGGGAAGAGGATTCCGTACTGTCCCAGGGGCTGTGTGCAGGGCGGGGCCGCGAGGCTGGGAAGGGCAGTACCTGGCATGGGCAGGACTGGGGTGGTTCCGGGAACGGCTGCGGTGCACAGAGGGCCGGGTGCTGGAGCCAGACACGGCATCCCCACTGCTGCTCGAGGGACGTTCATCTACAAGACAAGAATAGGAAGGCACAGGTGGCTGCCCCAGGGCTCCACAGATGCTGTATCCTCAGCAGAGTCAGTCCCAGACTTGCCGCAGCTGATGCCAGAGTGACGGCTTGGCACCAAGAAGCAGCCAGCATCCTCCCGGTCTCCCTGGAGCTGCAGCCTGGCCGTCCAGGGCCCACAGCAGACCCCGGGGGGCTGGACCCCCATGGGCGCAGCGAATAACCACACAAAGGGCCTGCTGTGGACAAGTCAGGGCCTGAATGGAAGGAGCAAGGGCCAGGAGCCCGTGGCAGGGCAGGCCCTCCACCTCCATACCTCAGAGGGAGAAGCACACAGGGTGGGGTGAGAGAGCAGAGACAGCTGGACAGACCAGCATGACCATGATACAGAGATGCAGGCCAGCAGCCTTCAACCCCCCAAGTGCAGGCAGATGTAGTGAAGCAGCCGCAAGAAGGGCGTAGCCAAGTAGGGTCGGCCCAGAAAGACAAGGTGGCTCTCCCTGTGGGTATCACGCCTCTTGCTCTAGGGACCCCGGGCAACCCTCTCCATAGAAGCAGGGAGTGCAGCTAGAGGAGGCCTCCCCACTGGTTGGGCCTCAATGGAACCTGCAGCCAAATCTCCGCTGCCACGGAACACCAAACGCCCTTCCCCATGGTCGCCCTGCTCCCTGGGCATCCGCCATGGGAGGTGCCAGCCCAGGTGGGAAAAGGAACAGACTGGAAAAGAAAGAGGAAAACCAGCCTCATATGCAGAGGACAAGACTGTGTTTGGAGAAAACCCTAGAGACAAGACTAACAGACTTCCAGAACCAGTGGCTGTAGCAGGATGGCAGGACACAGGTACAAGCCTGGCATGCACCCTACAACTGGGAAGCCAAGGATACAGTTGTTTCCACATTCTGAAACTTCACTTACCTGGGGATACATTTAATAAAAGATGTGTAACACCTACAACACTTTGCTGAGAGAAAAAAAAGACAATGAAACAGATGTCATGTTGACAGGAACACTTAGTTTTGCTAACACATCAGATTTCACCCAGTTGACCAACGCAATATGATCCCAGGCAAAATCCCAGCAGGCTACTAAGTAGAAAGACACCGTTTCTAAAACGTACATGGAAATATTAAGGAACTAGAAAAATCAAATTCTTTATTTTATAAAAATTGTATTTATTATTTGAGAGAGAGAGAAAGAGAGACCAAGAGCATGAGAACGGGGAGGGGCAGAGGCAGAGGGAGAAGCAGACTCCCTGCTGAGCAGGGAGCCCGATGTGGGACTCCATCCCAGAATCTGGGATCATGACCTGAGCTGAAGGCAGATGCTTCACCGACTGAGCCCCCCAGGCACCTCGAAAAATCAAATTCTTGGGAGGTTGTACCCAACTTGGTACCAAACACACAGTAAAGCCGCAGGACTTAAGGGGATGTGGCACCATCATGGGATGAGAGAATGGCTCAATGTGACAAAACAGTTCAGAAGTGAACTGACACCTATGTGACCACCTGACCAATATCTCTGTGACTCAGCGTGGAAAGGAAGGTGCTGTCACAACCAGATACGCATATGGGAGAAGGAAAACTACCTGAGCCCTCCAGCAAACCATACAGGTAATTTGACGTAGCTTGCAGGCCTCGATGAAGCAGCTAAAATAATGATGGTTCTAGAAAAAACACAGGAATCTAAGAGAATATCTAGATTTGAAAGAGGCGAAGATCCCTAATATAGGACAAAGAAATCAAATCATTCTGTTTTTTCCCCACTTTTTAAATGGTGAATGTGAAATGGCAGAGATTTTAATGAAATGAAAGACAAGCCACTGACGGATAGAATGTATCCATAACATGTAAATATGGGAAAGGATCTATAATGGACTCCCACACATCGATAATCAAGAGATAATTCAACTTTTAAAAGGTTGAGATCCTATATGAGACAGCACAGCCAATGGCTGAGCACACACAGCGCAAAAGCCATGGTCTGAAAAACCCCTGCGTTTACACAAAGACTGACTGCTAATCTCAGAGCAGGTGCTGCAGGGCCACGGAGGCTCGGAAACCTTCCCAAGAATGGATGAGCTTGTGGCTGCTATTCCCCGCTGGATACACAGACACCTTTGGGAACCAGGGCAATGGGGACACTCGCCCCGTTTGCTGCCGACAGCATGCCCCTGCCTGCCTCCTCTGCAGATGCCCACCTCCACCCCAGCTTCTGCACCAGCCCTGAGCACTTCTGAACCCCCGCTCCAGCTCACCTGCGCAAACTGTGCTACCCACACACACTCCGCCCCCAGGTCTCCTGCAGACCTGCGCCCCCCACCCCGTACATGCTTGGCGGAACCCCTCTAAAGCAGTGCCACCAGCCCAGCAGTGTGCAAGCAGCACTGACAGGCCAACTTCACCACAAAGTGATGCCTTCCCCGGGACAGGGGACACGATCCACACACAGCAGTCCAGCTGCGGCCCCAGCACTGGGCTAGAAGCACACATCTGGTCTGGCTGGACTGTAACACCCCACTGACCTCAATGGACAGATCATCGAAACAGAAAGTCATAGGGAATCAGTGGCTTTGAACGATACACTGGACCAGATGGATGTGACAGACAGATTCGGACACTCCATCCCCAGACAGCAGCACACACATTCTTTTCAAGACACACGGAGCATTCTCCAGAAGAGATCACATATTAGGCCACACAACACGTCTCAACAAATTCAAAAAGACTCCAGTCACGCCATGCAGCTTTCCAACCACAATGGTGTGAAAGTAGGAACCAACCAGAAGTAGAAAATCTGGAAAGAACACAAAGGTGTAGAGACAAAATAACATGCTACTAAACAATGAATGGGTCAACCAAGATATCAAAGAGGAAACCCAAAAGTACATGGAGACAAATGAAAATAAAAACACAAGGATCCAAGATCATTGGGATGCGGCAAAAGTGTTCTAAGAGGGAAGTTGAGAGCAATACAGGCCTCCTGCAAGAAGCAAGAAAAACCTCAAATGACCTAACTTTACACCTAAAAGAGCTAGAAAAAGAGGAACAAACAAAACCCAAACCACTAGAAGGAAGGAAATAATAAAGATGGGAGCAGGGGCAAGATGGCGGAAGAGCAGGGTCCCCAAATCACCTGTCCCCACCAAATTACCTAGATAACCTTCAAACCATCCTGAAAATCTACGAATTCGGCCTGAGATGTAAAGAGAGACCAGCTGGAAGGCTACAGTGAGAAGAGTCTGCGCTTCTATCAAGGTAGGAAGACGGGGAAAAAGAAATAAAGGAACAAAAGGCCTCCGAGGGGGAGGGGCCCCGCGAGGAGCCGGGCTGAGGCCGGGGCGAGTGTCCCCAGGACAGGAGAGCCCCGTCCCGGAGAAGCAGGAGCGGCACCAACCTTCCCGGACGGGCGGAAAGGGGCTCGCAGGGAGTTAGAGCAGGACCCAGGAGAGCGGGGATGCCCTCGGGCTCCCTGGGACACTAACAGACACCTGCGAGCGCAGGGGAGTGCTCCGAGCTCCCTAAGGGCTGCAGCGCGCACGAGGGACTGACCGGAGCAGGAGCAGCTCGGAGGGCTAGGGAGCGGCTCCAGGGAGGGAGCTGCAGGGCGGGAGCGCGAATCCAACAGCGCAGGCCCCGGAGCACAGGGCGCCGGGACACAGCCCAGGATCCGGCCTCCCCCTGGGACAGGCAGAGGCCGGGAGGGCGCAGGACAGCAAGGACGCTCCTGCCCCAAGCCGAGCAGATCAGCGGCCCCGCCCCGGAGCCTCCAGGCCCTGTAGACGGAGAACCCAGAGCCCGAGCCCCGTAGTTCCTGCGGAGGCTAAATCCAGGCTTCCAGAGTTGCCATAGCAACTGCGGCTGATACTCCTGGGGCCCCACGGGGTAAACAACCCCCGCTGAGCCCGGCAGCAGGCAGGGGCAGAGCAGCTCCCCCAAGTGCTAACACCTGAAAATCAGCACAGCAGGCCCCTCCCCCAGAAGACCAGCTGGACGGACCAGTGATACTCCCCCGTGTTCCAATACAACTTGTTTTTGGCCACTCTGCACTGAGCAAAATGACTAGAAGGAAAACCTCACCTCAAAAGAAAGAATCAGAAACAGCCCTCTCTCCCACAGAGTTACAAAATCTGGATTACACTTCAATGTCAGAAAGCCAATTCAGAAGCACTATTCTACAGCTACTGGTGGCTCTAGAAAAAAGCATTAAGGATTCACGAGACTTCATGACTGCAGAATTTAGATCCAATCAGGCAGAAATTAAAAATCAATTGAATGAGATGCAATCCAAACTAGAAGTCCTAACGACGAGGGTTAACGAGGTGGAAGAACGAGTGAGTGACATAGAAGACAAGTTAATGGCAAAGAGGGAAACTGAGGAAAAAAGAGAGAATCAATTAAGGGACCATGAAAACAGATTAAGGCAAATAAATGACAGTCTAAGGAAGAAAAACCTACGTTTAATTGGGGTTCCCGAGGGCGCCGAAAGGGCCAGAGGGCCAGAATATGTATTTGAACAAATCCTAGCTGAAAACTTTCCCAATCTGGGAAGGGAAACAGGCATTCAGATCCAGGAAATAGAGAGATCCCCCCCTAAAATCAATAAAAACCGTTCAACACCTCGACATTTAATAGTGAAGCTTGCAAATTCCAAAGATAAAGAGAAGATCCTTAAAGCAGCAAGAGACAAGAAGTCCCTGACTTTCATGGGGAGGAATATTAGGGTAACAGCAGACCTCTCCACAGAGACCTGGCAGGCCAGAAAGGGCTGGCAGGATATATTCAGGGTCCTAAATGAGAAGAACATGCAACCAAGAATACTTTATCCAGCAAGGCTCTCATTCAAAATGGAAGGAGAGATAAAGAGCTTCCAAGACAGGCAGGAACTGAAAGAATATGTGACCTCCAAACCAGCTCTGCAAGAAATTTTAAGGGGTCTCTTAAAACTCCCCTTTAAGAAGAAGTTCAGTGGAACAATCCACAAAAACAAGGACTAAATAGATAT